GTTTGAGGCCAGCCTGCTCTACATAGTGAGTTTGAGGCCAGCCTGCTTTACATAGTGAGTTCGAGGCCAGCCTGCTCTACATAGTGAATTCAAGGTCAGCCAGGGATATAGAGAGAGACCCTATCTCAAAGCAGACAAACAAATCCAAAATAATAAGATAAAATAAAATTTAAACTCTGGGGCTGGTAGGAGGGCTGAACAGGGTAAAGCACCTGCCAAGCCTGACGACCTGTTTGGTCCCCAGGATCCACACGGTGCACAGAGAGAACCAAATCCTGAAAGATGTCCTCTGACCACAAGACACAGTCAGTAGTGTGTTTATACCGTCACGTCCATCACCAAGGAATCCAAACAACACTCATTATTATTCATGTTAACTGCGTGTACGCAAGGCTTGTGATGGACCTTCATCTTAAGACGGAGAGATGGCTCAGCACACTTCCACTGCTTTGGTCCCAGGGTGTCCTGTTTCCTAGGTGGCCCCGGGTGCTCTAGGCCTTACCTAGTGAGACCAGGTGACTGAAGTTCTCCAGTGTCACATTTCTGAACAAGTCCCTCTGGGTAGGCTCCATGCACTTCCACTCTTCCTCAGAGAGTTCTACAGTCACATCCTCGAAGGTCACTGTTCCCTGAAACAATACGCTTACACATTATTAGTGAATTGATTTTTTTTTCTTTAATTTTTGAGACACGGTCTCACTATGTAGCCAGGGCTGTATTGGGGCTCACTCTGTAGACCAGGCTGGACTTGAACTCACAGAGCTCTGCCTGACCCTCTCTTTGAGCTCTGGGATTAAAGGTGTGCACAACCATGTCTGATTGATTCTCTTCCTTCCTTCCTTCCTTCCTTCCTTCCTTCCTTCCTTCCTTCCTACCTCTCTCTCTCTCTCTCTCTCTCTCTCTCTCTCTCTCTCTCTCTTTCTTTCCTGAGAATTTTCTAAATATGTAAAAGTAGCGGGCTGGAGAGATACCTCAGTAGTTAAGGGTACTTGTTGATCTTCCAAAAGACCCAAGTTTCGTTCCCAGCACCCCTATTGGTAGTCCACAACCACCTGTAACTCCAACTCCAGGGGATCAGATGCCCTCTTCTGACCTTCAAAAGCCCCTGTCTGTCTATCTATCTATCTATCTATACACATACACACATACACACACACACAATCTTGTAAAGTGCTTGCAAGTACATAGTGGTTGGGCAGTGGCAGTACACGCCTTTGATCCCAACACTTGGGAGGCAGAGGCAGGTGGATCTCTGTGAGTTTGAGGGCAGCCTGGTCTATGGAGTGACTTCCAGGACAGCCAGGAAAAACATATCGTGAAAAACAAAACAAGAAAACAAGTAGTGTAATAACACCAGTGATCTAGCACTCTGCTGGTATAGTCATGAGATTAATCTTGTTTGTGTATGTTCTTTCCCATTGTCTTTCTTTTTTGGGTGCTGGGAACCGAAGCCAGTACCTCACACATGCTAGGTGAGCTCTACTATGCTAGCCCGCTCTTCCACCCATTCAGGAAAACGTCTTTAAGACGTGGAGATGAAGAAAGGCACTATGGGATGTGGGAAGCTATAGCTTTCAGTCTGCACCACAGAGTACATGATCAAAGATCCATCAATATCCTCTTCTGAGGAGCGGGACTCTCCTGTTTCTCATACAGACTGGAAAATAAATAACCTAGCTGTGCAGGGTCTCATAAATGATTGCAACCGTGACCGGGTGTGCTGGTGTACGCCTGTTATCCTCGTAGCTGGCAGAGTGGGGTAAGCAGAAGGTCAAGAGTTCAAAGTCATCTCTGGCTACATACACAGCTGGCTTTGCAAGCAGCCTAAGCTACACATCTTAAAACAACCCTTCCCCCAGAAAAGGTATCAAAGGCTGCACGCAAAGGAAAAGCAGTCTCTCCACTTGTAAGGATATTTAGATGGCACATTTGTGTAACAAATATATTTGTGTTTAGTTTTTCATACCATATGCCTGTGATCGACATGTGGAGTTTTGTTTGTTTGTTTGGTTTGGTTTCTGTGCGGGGAGGGAGGGGCGTTTCAAGACAGGGTTTCCCTGTGTATCCCTGGCTGTCCTGGAACTCTACAGACTAGGCTAGCTTCGATTGAACTCAGAAATCTGCCTGCCTTTGCCTTCCAAGTGCTAGGATCAAAGGCGTGCGCCATGACAACCAGCTCATGGGAGACATGATTTTGTATGTGTGACAGACATGTTCTGTATGCAGTTTCTGACGGCATGAAATATGGTTTTTAGTTTATGTGTACGGCTGTTTTGCGTGCATATCTATGCACCATGTGCATGCTTGATACCTGTGGAAGTCAGAACAGGTCTTGTGATGCCCTGGAATTGCAGTAGATGGTTGTGAGCCAACATGTGGGTGTGGGAAATGAATCTAGATCCTCTGGAAGTGCAACCAGTGTTCTCAAGCATGGAGCCATCTCTCCAGCCCCATGAAATAGGTTTCTTTGTTTTCTCTTCTCTTCTCTTCTCTTCTCTTCTCTTCTCTTCTCTTCTCTTCTCTTCTCTTCTCTTCTCTTCTCCTCTTCTCTTCTCCTCTTCTCTTCTTTCTTTCCTTCTTTCTTTCTTTCTTTCTTCCTTTCTTTCTTCCTTTCTTTCTTTCTTTCTTTTTTTTTTAAGAGGGAGTAACATAAATCAGTATAGGAAAGTCACTGGAAAAGACAATCTCCTCTTCAGTCCCATTAATGGTTTTGAGAAAGTTAGCTATCATCTTTTTCAAGAGAAGGTACTGGTCTCCTCCGCTCCTCTGTGAGCACACGGTATATGATGCCTCTTAGAGGAGGGAGCTACCGAGGGCGGTGGGCCCCATCACTTGTTCCCTCAGAGCAGGCATTTTGGCATAAAGAACACAGGTGTTCACATGTTCTCAACAATTAGAAGGAATTACAGGGCTCAGCAGGTAAGGGCACTTGCTGCAAAATCTGATGACCTGAGTTTGACCCTGAGATCCACATGATGTCAGGAGAGAACTGACTCCTGGTCCCGACCTCCACACTGTACAGCAGCTTGGATACCACACCACTAACCAACCAACCTACCCTTTAGTCCCAGCACTTGGGAGGCAGAGGCAAGTGGATCTGAGTTCCAGGACAGTCTGGTCTACAGAGGGAGTTCCAGGACAGCAGTCTCTATACACAGAAACCCAGACTCAAAAAAGCCAAAACAAACAAACAAACACATAAATAAAATGAACTTTCGACCTACCTGAAGGGCCATGGCGTTCAGGACAACCTGACCCACTCTGATTTCTCTTTCTGGATAAATGAAGAGTCCTGAAAAAGGAGAATGCAGAAGAGTAAAGCCCCCAATACACTGAGTGGCATGTTCAGTCCTAGAACTTTTAGGGCTGAGGCCTGGGTAACATGACAAGAATCTTGGGCTCCGTACCCCCCAATGGAAAGTAAATAAAAGAACAAGAGATACAGGTGAAAATGGCTCCAGACAGAGTGTATTTAAATCACTGGAATAAGAAATGATCTTCAGTAAAAGAGGGAACACTAGGGCTGTATTACAGAGGCTCACAGATAGCTACACACACACACACACACACACACAGAGACACAGAGAGAAAGAGAGAGACAGAGAGAGAGAGAGAGAGAGAGAGAGACCTTTCAGTTTGAAGTCAGCCCGGACTACAGAGCGAGTTCCAGGATAGCCAAGGCTATACACAAAGAAACCCTGAATGGTGGTTTGAATATGTTTGACCCAGGGAGTAGCACTTGTTCTTTGGTAGAGTGGCCTTGTTCGAGTAGGTGTGGCCTTGTTGGTGTAGGTGTGTCACTATGGGCTTGGGCTTTAAGACCCCCACCTTAGCTGCCTGGAAGTCAGTCTTCTCCTAGACGAAGATATAGAACTCTCAGCTCCTCCTGCACCATGCCTGCCTGGATGCTGCCATGTTCCTGCCTTAATGATAATGGACGGAACCTCTGAACCTGTAAGCCAGCCCAATTAAATGCTGTCCTTATAATAACTGCCTTGGTCATGTGTCTGTTCACAGCAATAAAATCCTAAGAGATCCTGTCTTAAAAAACCCTCTCTACTCCCTACCCCCCCCCAAAAAAAAAGGTTTCAGGGAAAGGAGAATAAAACCCAAGGCATTGTGAATTTGGCTTTTTATGGTCAATAGCTAACCACTGAGCTATAGTCTCAGCTCAGCACCACCTTCTTAGAAAGGGGTTAGAAGAAAGGAATCAAGAGTGACCAGGGCACTTTTGGATAGCTGACTTTTTATCCTACTGTACAGAGAATGGAGGTCAGAGAAGGCTGGGCATTCAGTCCAAGTTCAGTGCCTCCTTGTAAAACTGAGGTTGCTGCTGTCCAGGGCCAGAATCTGCCATTCACAGCATCAGCTGGGTCCAGAACAGTAGCCATAGAGACATCACATTGACACACTTGGCTGCTGCAAGATACGTCACACGGATACATCCACTCATCTACTCGTCACAGCTGGCCTTGAACTCAGAAATCCGCCTGCCTCTGCCTCCCAAGTGCTGGGATTAAAGGCATGCGCCACCGCAGCCCGGCCTAGATATAACTTTTTTATATTTACTGATTTTTTTTAAAGATTTGTTTATTTATGCATATGAGTCCTCTATGTATACCTGCATGCCAGAAGAGGGAATCGGGTCCCATTACAGATGGTTGTGAACCACCATGTGGTTGCTGGGATTTGAACTCAGGACCTCTGGAAGGGCAGTCAGTTCTCTTAACCACTGAGCCATCTCTCCAGCCTAGAAATATTTACCTTTGTGTGCGTGCACATATTCAGGTGTGTGTGTGCAATGCCATTTATGTGGAGGGCAGAGTAGAGTCTTGGGTGTTGGTTCAAGCCTTCTACCTTGTGTTCTGATCACTGTTACACACTCTGGGCTAGTTTATCTGAGAGCTTTTGGAGACCCTTGTCTCTGAATCCTGTAAGAGCTTGGATTACAGGAGAATTACAAACACAATACAACAACTGACTTGTGCCACAAGAATTTTACCCACGTAGGCATCTCTCCGAGAACACCCTTTACTTTCTTTCTTTCTTTCTTTTCTTTTTTTTTTTTTTTTCCGAGACAGGGTGTTTGTTTGCTTGTTTGTTTTTCGAGACAGGGTTTCTCTGTGTAGCCCTGGCTGGTCCTGGAACTCACTCTGTAGACCAGGCTGGCCTCGAACTCAGAAATCCTCCTGCCTCTGCCTCCCAAGTGCTGGGATTATAGGCGTGTGCCACCAGCGCCCGGTGAGACAGGGTTTTGTAATAGATCTCATGCTGCCTTTGATTTTGAGATCCTCTTGCCTCAGAAGCCCAAATGCTGGGATTACAGGGCTATATACCAGTGATTAGCTTCATTCACCCACTCTTGAGATGCACAAAGACACAGACACAGTTACATACCTCCACACACCCCAGTCAGTTTGCTTGGGTCCTCTCTACACAGTCACAATCACACATGGTGGCACGCAGAAGGCACAGTAAGTACTCTGCACCATCCACAGCCGTAACTGAACGTTCACTTGGGAGCCAGTCACGCAGTAGCAAGATGAGTCCACACCTGCATACATACGGCATTACACACTGTCCCAAAGTCCTTTCTCCTCCCTCCCTCTTCTCTTCATGAACACAAGGATACCCACGCAGTACCGATGCAGAGCCATGGACACGGAACACTGCGCACAGTACTACACAACGTCACTTAATCCAGAGATACAAACACAGCCACAGTTAAAACTATATCCATACTCCCCAGGAATAAAGGCTACTGAGCACATAACGCAATACAGGACCACGGGATACCACGTCCACAATCTGGGATCCAAGATCCCAGAACACATAACAACACATGTTTGCGCAGCAGCAATCAAATATACACCTTGGAGACAGGTGATTACAACAGCACACTTCTAAGCACTCACAACCGGTCATCACTACAATCAAAACCACACTTAGAATCCTGCAGCCCAATCTTGCTCCCGTGGACACAGCCCCAAAGTTCAGGACACGCCTGGTCCCCGCCTAGGACTCCCCAGGCCATTTACCTTCGGTGTCCGTAGAAGGCGCGCGCGTCCGAGTCGGCCAAAGCTGGTGAGTTCACCAAGCTGGGAGCAATGTCAGGTCGCTATCCACTCTGGGAAACGTAGTCCAGAGCCACATTAGCCACGGACAAAGATGGTGTCCTCTCACCTTGGAGTCTGGGCTCAGTGTATTTTTGAGACGCCGCCCGTGAAGTATCAAAGGGGAGGTCCCCATTCCAAACATTCCACCAGGCATGAGCTTATTCGGGTCCAAGTGACAACAATCTACTCTAAGAAACCCCAAATCACAAGAAGAGGCGGTCAGGTTTGCGTGTGGGAGACGGATGAGCGATCCGCTCGCTATGCCTTGTGGGAAGTGTAGTCCAAAGTCGGAAAAGCAGTATTGCTCATAGTAGACAACAGCCTGGCTGGGCTTCAGTGAACAAGCCCCGAGGTGTCGCGGAGACTTCTGGGAGTGCTCGTTCACTCCCGGAGTGCGCAGACGCAGGGGCAGCGAGTGGACATTTTGGTCTTTGTCCGCGGGTCAGCACGGTCGTCTGGTCCACGTGGCGCCGAAGTAGGAGGTGGGATCTGGGCGTCCTGGGTCGGTGGGGCAGGGGAGGTTGGAGGGCAGTGTTTCCGATCTTTGGTGGTGCGGCGCGGGGGTCAGGGAGGGTGCTGAAGAGCATTGGGCCTTGGGGAGAGCCGAAGGTGGGGGCCTCTAAGGAACGGTTGAGCGTTTGAGACCCAATTTGACTGCAAAGTTTGACCCACTATTTAGAATTATTGAGTGGATGTAGCGCTGGGTGTAGGATTGTGGGTGGCTATGCTTTATGAAGCAATGGGGAGACCCATGTTGAAGTATCACGTCTGCGCGGTGGTTCCCGAGTCGAAAGTGCTGATCATTATAACGGGGCCATCTTCCCGAAAAACATCCGTTTTATTTGAAAGGTGGAAAGAAACTAAGGGGTAAATAATTCTAAAGCTGTATTTATTGATGATGGGTTTTATACGCCAGGCAGTTGGATTTTGTGATATGTGCAGTAAGCCTTAATAAACATGTTTAGATTTTAAAAGACGACCTTTGTATTAAAACGCGGTTGTTTATGAATGGAGGTAGGATACAGATTACTCTGACATGCTTAGTTATAAGACATTTGGTTCGGAATTGTCTCGGGGGTGCCCGCCTTAGATTCCATTTCTGATTTTTGAGGTACTTTAATAGAGCTGTTATGCAAATTCGGGTTTCATTTTGAAGATCATTTCACTGAAAACCCAGGATTAGGGAGTCTAATTTAGATTTAGGTTAGGCACAGTTCCTCGTTTAAAATAATTTTATTTACATTAATTTGTGTGGGCATGCTTGCCACAACGCACATAAGGAGGTGTTTGGAATCGGTTCTGTCTTCCACAGTGTGGGTTTTGGGGCCGAATTCAGGTTGTAAGCCTTGAATGCAAGCGCCTTTGCACCCCGAGGCATTGCTCTTGCCCATGTTCCTCTATTTTTGAAGAAAACTTAGTGATTGCTGTGCTAGATCATAGATGTCATAACTCCTTCATGAGTACAGCAATGTGGAACGACTTCTCCCTGCATCTTGCAGTCATTAAAGACATCGCCAGCTTTGGCTTTTCTTTTAGTGGTAAAAGTTAAGCAATTGAGTACCTAGTTAAGATTTGCAAGTCAGTAGAAGTCAGTAGCCTTCAAATTTATGAATAGCTAAGGCAGAGGCAGTTGGATCTCGGAGTTTCAGGACACCGGTAACTACACAGAGAAACCCTGTCTTGAAAAACAAAACCAAAACATGCAAGAAAGTCCCCGAAGAAAAGCAGGTAGAATGTGAGGGTTTGCTGTTAGCAGTTTTTTTCGGTAGTGCTGTGTATTGACTCTCCACTGAGCCTTATCCTTAGCCCACAGTTCCGGAAATGAATGCTACAAATGTATCCATGTTTGAGAGAAACAATACAGGCACAAGTTTACTTATGACTGCAAAGTTTAGCCTAGAAAAGTATTAGAAACACTTCCTGCTCGTCCATTAGAGGATGGTTCAGTTGACCTATGATAATAAGCTTACCCAGTAAAATACACGGTTGTGCAAAAGAATGACAGAGCTTTATATAGACGCTGGAAGGACTCAGACTTATTAGAGCAAGGTTCAGAACATAGTCTCTTGTCAGGAATAAGGTAACTATCTTTCTATTTCTATTGGGGAAAAAGCCTCAAGAGATATATACACTTTTCAAAATAACTGTTACTGTGGGAGTGGAGATAGATACTAGAACGGTTAGGCCAAAGGCAAGTAGCTGCATTTACTTCATAACTTATACATTCGAGAGTAGTATATGTTCTAAAGTCAGTTTCTTAAACATTTATGTTTGTGCCTGTGTAAGTTTGGGCACTAGCGGTGTCTTGAAACCTCAAAACCCTCCCCTAGTGACACACCTCCTCCAACAAGACCACACCTCCTAATTCTTCTGGCATAGTTCTGCCAGCAGGGGACCAGTTATTCATGAAATACATGAGCCCATGGAGCGATTCTCATTCCACCAGCTCCAGGATACTTTAGTCAGCTGGCCTGGCTGTGTTTTGGACTATTCCATTACACTTAGCTACTGAATGTGGATTCAGTCAGCTTACCATATTTTCACTTGCACTAATTTACCCCTTTTTGAGATCAGCTGACTGTCACCCTGGTTACCCTGTATAGCTTACCTTTGCAGACAGACTGGCCTTGAACGTGTTGCAATCCTTCCACCTCTGCCTCCTGGGTACTTAGATTACAGGTTTGTGCCACCATGCTCAACAGTGTATAGTCTTTGCCCTGTTTCCTGTGCTGTTTTCCTAAAAGGAAGTATAACATGTTCACTTTGTCAGCTCACACAGGTGTAGAAGCAAGCGCCACAGTCACCTGAGCACCCCGAGCAGTTCCTGAATGGTTTAGGAACCGAGACTCAGATGGGTTCAACTTAGAAAATATTCTGCTATTTTTGAGATTGTATTTTAATTACATTTCTCCCTTCCCTTCCCTTTCCTTTCCTTGATTTATCTGAACATGTGTGCTCTCTTGAGCATATGCTCGTGCATATGGCACTCAGGACAACTTGAACGAGCTGGCTCTCTTTCCACTATGTGGGTAGAAAGATTAAGTTGGAGTTTATTAAAATTTTAGGGACAAGGTATTCTTTAGCACAGGCTGTGTTTGAACTGGCTATGTAGTAGCTGGGGCTGATCTGTCTCTACCTCCAGAGCTGTAGGATTACAGGTGTGTGCCACCACAACCAATTTCTCTGGTGCTAGGGATGGAACCCATGACTTCCTGTATTCTAGGCAAGCAGTCTTCTAGCTGAGGACATATCCTCATCCTCAAAATACTTTTAACACGAACTAAAAAAAGGTAAGGGTTAAGAGGGACGAGGGCACCCAGGAAAGAAGGCTCATCCCATAGCGGGTGTGCGGGCTTGTCAAAGAAGAGTGGCACTTTATTGTCTCTGCAGGAGTCACATAGACCATTTTGGTAGATTTGGAGCTATTGTCCTCAAAGGGGTTGCTAAGGAACTTCACAGGGTGTTTATTGAGGTGCACCTGATGGGACTACAGTCAATAAAAGTACCTCAAAGGGCTACAGTAACTTAGGATAGCTTCTCTGTAAACAAGTTAACAGTCCAATTTAAGATTCCCAGAAAATGGGAGGTGAGCGAGTCCCTACCCAAGGTTATATACATTCAAGCCTTAAGGTTGGCTCATTGTTATTAGTATGGAAACTACCCGGGTACTGGATAGCTGGTTCATTTCAGTGAAGTGCCTACCATGCCAGCGTGAGGGCCTTAATTCAGATCTCCAGCATTCACATAATAATCCAGGCATGCTGGCACACTCAGGCTGTTCCTGCCTTAGACCATGAGTAACTAGGATTATAGGCTTAGCTTCTTTCTCTTTCTTTTTCCATATAAATTTTAGGATTGACTTGTCTAGTTCTGGGGGAGGGATAATACCCCCCCAATTTTTCTATTGAGAGTTTATTAAATTTATAAAATAATTTAGAGGAAAGCAGCATTTTTATAATGTTAGACTCTCCTATCCATGAACCTATGCTTTGTTCAGGTGGCATTTGGAGTCCTAAGTGCTTACATTAAAAGAAACCCCAACATTGTGAGTGCAAGGTGTATAGGTGGGTGCCCAGGGGCCATGTATGAAGGTCAGAAGACAACTCTGTAAGACCCGGTCTCTCCTTACCTGTGTATGTGGGGTCTAGATCCTGACCTCAGGGTGTCAGGTTTGCCGTCTAAGCAGCCCTTGCATGTTTTCACAGAGATCTTATTCTGTTACTATTGTTATTCCTTCTGACTACTGCAGTGAATGTAGTGATAGTTATTAGAATATATAAGGCTTTTTAGTATTTTATTAACTTTTTTCTTAGCATAGATTACTATGTTGTTTATATTAAATAATATTGAGATGGGGACACCCTTGTGTTTATTTGTTTTTTTTTTTGTTGTTGTTTTTTTTTTTGGTTTTGGTTTTTCGAGGCAGGGTTTCTCTGTATAGCCCTGGCTGTCCTGGAACTCACTCTGTAGACCAGGCTGCCCTCGAACTCAGAAATCTGCCTGTCTCTGCCTCCCAAGTGCTGGGATTAAAGGCGTGCACCACCACTGCCCGGCTAATTCTCCTTTTCCTAAAGCCCTTCCATTTCCTCTCCCCTGTTCCCTTTCAGATTCATGGCCTCTTCTATGTGTATGCATGTGCTCAGTTCACTTAGTGTCATGGTATATACATGATTTCAGAGATGACTGATTGGATTTGGATAACCAATGAGAGGGTTTTTCCTCCGGAGAAGCCTGTTCTTTCTCTTCTCAGCATTCCTTAGTTGCCGGCAGTTCTGTGTTTAGGTGTAAGCCCTGATGAGATGTCTCCCTTTGATGTTGTCGTTTCTATTGGTGTTGGACCTGCTCAGGTCCTGTTTAGGCAGCCCTGTTGTTGAGTATCGGAGGCAGTCCCTGTCAGTTCTAGAAGACACAGTCTCCTCTGGCTCTTACTGTCTTTCCACCCCCTCTTCCATGACGTTCCCGAAACCTTAGGTGCAAGCATTGTGTCTGTGAGGCTGGCATCCCAGTCAGTTGTGCTCTGCATTTTGACCAGTTGTGGTTTCTGTGATGGTCTCCATCTGATGAGGGGTGAGAGCACAATTAACTGTGGCTAAAGGTACATATCTAGAGTGTAGTTAGGAACTGGGCTCGTTTAATAAGGTGGCAGTGGTAGGGATCCTCTTAGATGCATAACCTTACTAGCCCCAGGTAAGTAAACCAGGTAATTGGCCAGGTTTCCAGTGCTGGATATTATTTCCCTCCCGCTGAGTACAATTAGAAAAACTGTTGGTTACCACCAAGATGTGAGTGCCTCTATTGCACCCTCAGGGGGAGCTTGCCATGTTGGCTGTTATGGTTCATGGGTGTCACACTGGTTGCTTCCCTCTTTTGGAAACTTGCACAACACGTTCTAGTACTATGAAAGCTAGTCCTCAGGCAACGGGGAATATTTAAGTAATATTAACTGGTAGAATTTGTTGAGTGCTTACCATATAGCAGCTGTGTTCCTTTAAGTGGTTCTTTGTGATCTCTCGTAGAAGCAGCTGAGGAGTGATAAGCACATCGAAGGACACCAACATCTGGGAGGTCAGTTGAATCGCCAAGGAGAGTAGTGAACACAAGAACTGGAATCCTCCTGTGCTCACAGACTTCATTTCTTTTCTTTCATAACAGACTTCAATTTTTAAAAGGCAAACATTTTCAAAGCTTAAAGCTTTGAGCTTGAAATGTAATTTAGATTTAAACAGAAAGTCCCATGGGAACAAATCGTCTGCTTTATACAGTTTGGCAATCCTCTGCCGTAGTCACTCCTGGTGAGAATGTCTTGTCAGTAGAGTGCAGTGTGGAAATGCCTGCAGTTTGTTAGTGGAGAGCGCAGACCAGAGGAAAAGCCTCTGAGTTTCCTGAAGGCGGGAAGCATTTACTTAAGTGTCCTGTCTCCCTGAACAGAGGAGTCATGCTGAGAGGAAGCCCTGGGTCTCTAAGCAGTACTGAAAAGCCATTAGCCAGATGACAGTTCTCTCAGCATTGCTGGAGGAAAACAAGTGAACTTTGCAAAAACAACATTGACTCTTAGTAAAACTTACCCTGGGAAGAAAGGTTTGTTGTGATAAAGTTCTTTTAGACTTTCTCCCTTTCTCTTCATTTGAATGAGCAGGAGACACAGAAAGAAGGCTTAGAACTGTAAGAAATGTGGACACATCCTCAGTCAAGAGCAAACCCTCATTCCTCGTATTGGAGATAAGCACTGTGGATGTGATAGCGTCTATTCCGATGTCACACGTCAGTCAGCAGAGGAGTTTAAGTGGGGGAAGCCCCTTTGCCTGTAAGGTATGTGGGAAACTCTTTAGCCACAAATCGAATCTTACAGAGCACGAGCATTTTCATAATAGAGAAAAGCCATTTGAATGTAACGAGTGTGGGAAAGCCTTTAGCCAGAAACAGTATGTCATTAAGCATCAGAACACTCACACCGGAGAGAAGTTATTCGAGTGTAACGATTGTGGAAAATCCTTTAGCCAGAAGGAAAACTTGCTTACCCATCAGAAAATTCACACCGGAGAGAAACCTTTTGAGTGCAAAGATTGTGGGAAAGCTTTCATCCAGAAGTCAAACCTCATCAGACATCAGAGAACTCACACAGGAGAGAAGCCCTTCATTTGTAAGGAGTGTGGGAAAACCTTTAGTGGCAAATCAAATCTTACTGAGCACGAGAAAATTCATATTGGCGAGAAACCCTTCAAGTGTAATGAGTGTGGGACAGCTTTTGGCCAGAAAAAGTACCTGATAAAGCATCAAAACATTCACACTGGAGAGAAGCCGTATGAGTGCAATGAATGTGGGAAAGCCTTCTCTCAGCGAACATCACTTATTGTGCATGTGAGAATTCATTCAGGTGATAAGCCTTACGAGTGCAATGTCTGTGGGAAAGCCTTCTCTCAGAGCTCGTCTCTAACCGTGCATGTGAGGAGCCATACAGGAGAGAAACCCTATGGCTGCAATGAATGTGGGAAGGCCTTTTCTCAGTTCTCAACCCTGGCCCTGCATCTGAGAATACACACAGGTAAAAAGCCTTACCAGTGTAGTGAGTGCGGAAAGGCTTTCAGCCAGAAGTCCCATCACATTAGACACCAAAAAATCCATACTCATTAAATGCTCTGGATAGTTTCAATATGGAGAAGTGTTCATTAGGAATTTACACCTCGCTGGGCAATGGTGACACACACCTTTAGTCCCAGCACTTGGGAGGCAGAGGCAGGTGGATTTCTGAGTTCGAGGCCAGCCTGGTCTACAGAGTGAGTTCCAGGACAGCCAGGACTACACAGAGAGACCTTGTCTCGAAGAAAAAAAAAAAAAAAGAAAAGAAAAAAAAAAGGAATTTACACCTCAGTGCATCATTTGGTGATTCTGAGGCTAAGCACCGTAAATCAGCCAAACATTTAACATAAGATGTTGTGAACACCGGAGAATTCATACTGAAGGGAAAGAAGTGTGTAGGATTAAAAGCTTGCACTCAATGAATGCATCGGAACAGAAAAGCAGTGCTGAACTGTGAACACAGTCGTCTACCATCGAGAACCGCAAACAGGCCTGTTACAGCCGTCAGCATCGATCTGCGGTTCATCACTAGTCTAGTTAGCGAGGACAGTAATTATAGAAGGATAACTGTACGTTTACCAGATTTCAATATGAAAATAACTGCTTCAGCTGAACACCAAGATGATGTGTGGAGGTCAATTGTCCTCTGAGGAGGAGACCTGCACACCACAAAGTATAAACGATAGTGACAGTAAAATGCATGGATACCGAAAGCAGAAGTACAGAAATGCTATACATTATACAAGTTTGACTCTGGGAGTGGGAAAACATTCCATGTAACATTTGAAAACACTTAGAAATTCTCATGAGTATTTATGCTCAGGAGGTGAGGCACCAGGAAATTTACCATGACTTAATTTAGAATAGCCAAATATAGAACTGAACTGCCTGTTGGGAACGGAACGAGACAGTTATGCACCAGGTGTGTGCATAGCTGGAGGGACTCTGGAAGAAGTGGGGAGACTTAGTTTACAGGACTCGTACAGTACAGTGACTTTCAAGTTAAAATTTCCTTCTTGAAACTCAGCATATTACGGTATAAATACACAGGTATGTAAATGTTCAACATCCATCAGAAGGATGTAGACAAACTCCTGAGAGTGAGGAAGGGACGCGGTGGGAGGGAGGGAGGGAGGGAGGGCTTCAGCTTTGATAGACGCGTTCGTTCTCTTAAAGACTGCAAGCAAATATATGAAGATACTGGCTAATTTTCAGTTGTGTTATATGGATATCATGTCTTATTTTTTGTACTTTTCTGTATTTTTCAAGATAAGAATGGAGGTAATGGTGGGAACTCCGCACCTGCAGAGATGGATGTTATAGTTGATTCATTCCCAGACACTAAGCTTTTATAGAGATGTTTGTAAAACTTTAACATAACAATGAGTGGATGGACTTGGCACTCTATGTAATGAAATTATCTATTTTATTAAAATTTAAAATGACAGCATATTCTTAAATCTTCCAACTTTTTGTTGCATATAGTCTCATTTTTACATTTCTAATATTTTGCAAGATTGTTTAAGCACAGGAACTTTAAAGAACTTAATATTTAGTTGTATGGGGATCAGTTGACATGCAGTGTTTCGTTCTTTACAGATGCTGTTTCTTTCTCCAAGGCGGGCCTTCCTGAAGATGTTTTAAATTACTATTTGATTTTAGTGTAACTTGGTCAAGCATAGTAAATTGTGTGTATGGGTGGGCACACGGACGAAGCCAGAGCACAGCCTCATGTGGTGGTGCTTGAGCTCTGTCCACATGTCACCAGCCTGGAACTGAGCTTGACAACAGCAAGCCCAGGGGTCTGCCTGTCTGACTCCTCAGCAAGGCTGGGGCTACACTTGCATAGCAACATACCCAGATTTCCCCCCTTCCTCCGCCCCCACCCCCGCCCCGCAAGGCAAGTACTTTATTGACGGTTCCCAGTTCTTGGAGCTTCTTACATTTTGTGGTGGGTGTCAGGTGTCGGGGGTGGGGTGGGGGGGTTGTGGAATTCAGTTCTCCACCTCCGCCTCCACGTGAGTGTAGCACTGTGGCAGATCCTTGCCCAGCACACACGAGGTCTTGGGTGGATCTGACCTTATGGTCAGGACGACTTGCATAGATTAGTTTATTTCACCGTGTGACATCCTAGGCATTCAAGCTAAGCCATCAGGCTGGGGGCAAATGCCTTTACCTGCTTAGCTACCTCACCTGTCCAGTTTCCAAATAATTTTATCAACAAAACTAAGAATCCAAAAGAAATCATTTTCCCTCGTAAGAATTTTGAAATTCTCTTCTGAGGTTAAGCTAAAACTAGAGGCTGGGAAGAAATCTTGAATGGGTGTGTTTACAGAAAAGGTGGTCCACTTTATGGAAGAAGCAGGAGTCTCCAGTGTTAATGTGGCCGGGGATTTATTGTTTGCCAAGATGCTTAGAAACTAAGAGGACAAAATGTGTAATCATCCCTGTATGATTACAGTATTGAAGAGCTGAAAAAGGTGTGTTGAAGGCCAGCCTGGTCTACATAGCAAGTTCCAGGATAGCCAGTGCTACTTAGACTCAGAAGAGAAGAAGGTGAGTGCTCAGTGTCCTCTGTATCTGACAATATGCCGTTTGTGCTGAAGTTCATATCTGGAGCCTCGATCCAAAGGCTTAGTTAAATTTTAACGTAAATCTTAAGCAGTGCTTGACTGCATATTACACGGTAGATGTTCCGTAAATGTTTCCTGCTAGTCATAGTGTGAACTCGAGATGGGAAGGCTCTGGCCTAGCTAAGAGCTCTTGAAGAGGACCCAAGTCAGGCTACTTAGAACACTAATGAAAGATGAATTTTAAAAATCTTCGAGAAGGCCCAAAAGGTCTGAGCTGCTCACCCCACCACAACTTGGGAAAAGAAACAACAGTAAAAGCCGGGCAGTGGTGGCGCATGCCTTTAATCCCAGCACTTGGGAGGCAGAGGCAGGTGGATTTCTGAGTTCGAGGCCAGCCTGGTCTACAGAGTGAGTTCCAGGACAGCCAGGGCTACACAGAGAAACCCTGTCTCGAAAACAAACAAACCAACAAAAAAAGAAAACGGTAAAACAGGAAAGCGTGAAACACTGCATGTCAGGTGGTCACCATGGGCCAGATGCTCATGCAAGCTTCAGTGCCCTCCTCTGGGGTCTCCACTCAAGCTGTGTATGTCCACACACAGACAGACATCATTTTCTTTTTTTTTTTTTAAAGCTTTATTTAGTTTATGAATGTGAGTACACAGTTGCTGTGATCAGACACACCAGAAGAGGGCATCAGATCCCATTACAGATGGTTGTGAGCCACCATGTGGTTGCTGGGAATTGAACTCAGGACCTCTGGAAGAGCAGTCGGTGCTCTTAACCACTGAGCCATCTCTCCAGCCCGACAGACATCATTTTCAAAAGTTAAAGTTAATATTAAAGATGAGAGAAATACTTTCCCAGAAGCCTAGAGGTGAAGTTTGGGCTTAACATGTTTGGCTAAGACTTGATCTGCTGGCAGTGTGGGGTCGTGTGATCTCACAGTTGCCACTGGATTTGCATGGCTGTTTATTCTGGCTGATACAATTTAATACTTTCTGAAATTTCTTTTCCTAATTACACATGTGTATATGTCTATGTAGAAGTGTGTGTGTATACGCAAATGCCCAGAGAGCTGAGAAGATGTGGGCCTGAGGTACTGGGCAGCTGGGAACGGTCTGTGAGAACAGTGGAGCCTTCCCCTCAAGTTAAAACAACTGTTTAAAAGCACACTTACCGTCCGTGTGCATATGTATGGACATGGCATGTCACAGCACTCGAGGACAGCTTTGTGGAGTTGGGGCTTACTTTCTATTTTATCTTGCGCTGTGTGGGTCTTGGAACCAATTTAGAGCCTCCCGCTTAGCCCCCAGAACTTGTGCTTGCTACAGCATCTTGCTGGTTCTCTGGCTAACTATTGGTTCTCTGTGGACGAGCTGGGCTGAGTATAGAATTGGGTAGAAATTTAACTCATAACATTCTTTCTGGCCCAAGTTCCACAATGTTCTCTGAATCTTTCCTGTCCATTTGTGGCTATAGGCATTCAACATTTGGTTTAAGATTTTTGAGTCTCCTTTAATCCCAGCACTTGCGAGGCAGAGGCAGGTGGATTTCTGAGTTCGAGGCCAGCCTGGTCTACAGAGTGAGTTCCAGGACAGCCAGGACTACACAGAGAAAACCCTGTCTGGAAAAACAAAAACAAAAACAAAAAAACAAAAAACAAAACAAAAAAAATGAGTCTCTGAAATCACCACTAACTGTAAAAAGAAGGTTCTCTGACCAAAGCTGATAGCAATATGGGCAATTGACAAACATGTCCATTAAAACAACAGTAGCTCTCCCATCAGGGCCTGTGACCTCCCCAACTTTCACTGCTCTTATGGTAACAGAATCTTTTTAAATTGTTGAACAGGATCCTAGTGTGCAGTTGCTGATAGAGAAAACAGAGTGGTAGGATTGCTCAGTGGTTAAGAGTGCTTTGCTCTCCAGATGACTGGATGGAGGATGGTTCCCAGCACCCACATTGGGCAGCTTAAAACCTCCTCTAATTATAACTCCAAGGAAGTCAGGCACCTTTGGACCTTTGCAGACACTGGCATATGTATATACTTTTAGATACCTGTAGCATGTAATTAATACAAAGCAATCCACGCTATCACCAGCTTCTCACCAGCAACGGCAGTCTCCCCATCCCCATGGGTATCCCAAAGCAGTGGTCTGTCCAGTTTCCCACAGTTCACTTGCGGCAGAACCGGTCACATTCCCAGTGATCCATCCCCTGCAGCTAGTCTGCGAAGACTGGCTCTGTCCCCTGGAGCCCACCTGAGGTGCCGCAAATGTGAAACACCAAACAGCCTTAGTTTAGAATCAACAGATAACACAACTGCTGGGTGAGGAATCTAGCATCCTAAACTCATCAACTAGTCTATGTTAGAGATGTTCCGGTGCCAGATTCTGCCTCCAGGTCTAACAGTTCCTGGTCTCCATGGTGCCTCCTCTCACTCCTGCCTCACCACCCAAAAGAGGGGCATTCCTTCCTGCGTTTTCTCTTACTCTCTCAGAGCCAGAAAGCCCGCCTCCTCCTTGCCCAGTGATTGGCTTCTTGTCGTCTTTATTATCCAGTCAATTAATTAGGAAAAAACTACTACAGATAGTTACATAACTGGATAAAATACTTGTAAGAGAACATAAATTTAGTAGGCTATTTGATGTCATTTGGGAGCATAATATATGAATATCTGGTTTGGCCTGGGGAGTAAAGGTTAGCTGTGCAGTTCAAACTTATTGGCTAAATATATTAACCTTTAAATCTACTGGCCAGCAAGCATGACATGCCGGGACTTTCCAGAGGGTCAGGTAACTATCAGTCCATTCAGAGAATTTTTTACTCAAGAATGATCCTGTGGGTGGAGAATGGAACGTGACCTAGCCTTGACTGGAGGTGGGTGGGCATAAGGCTGGCGAAAAGCACCCAGGGCCTTTCAAACCCATATAAAAAGCTGGTCATGGTAGAAGATGCTTCTGACCCCAACTCTGAGGAAGTATAGATAGCAGGATTTCTGTGCTCACTGGCCAGCACAGGCCCCAGTGAATGATTCTAAGAAAACGAAGTGTATAGTACCCAAGCATATCAGGCCTCTATATACACTCACTAAAGAATGCACACACTCAGTTCCATCCGTGCAGGTAAAAAAAAGAGGAGACACAAAAAAACATTTAAGGAGAATTGTCAGGTTACAGCTATTTGAAAACTAGCAGACAACGTAAATGTCCAAATGTTCCAAATATACCACAGTATGGTTTTCCCAGAAATGTTACAATGTTTTCACATTCTTGTATCGAATTTAAAAGATCAAGGTTATGAATTTCCACTGTTTCCAGGACCGTTTAGCCAGTGTGTTGAAATGCGTAGAGGGTTTTTGCCTTAGTGTAGCTTGCCATAGTTGCTGTCTCAGGTGGAAAGCGGTTATGATTTGTAACTCTGAATTCATAGACTGGCTTTCATGGTGAACAGCCATGTTTAATTCATTTATATAAAAGCAGTTAAATACACTAGAAAGTATGAATTAATCTGCAAGGCAGTTTTCATTGTTAGATTCCGACACAGATGTTCAGATTGTAAACAACCAGACAATACTGCACCTCTTTTCACTTTTTCGTGTTTTCACTTTTTCCTGCTTTGTTTTTGAGACAGGGTTTTTCTATACAGCCCTGGCTGTTCTGGAACTTGTTATCTAGACCAGGTTGGTCTTGAACCCAACTTAAGAGATCCGCCTGCCTCTGCCTCCCAAGTGCTGGGATTAAATGTGTGTGCCACCAGCTACTACTGCCTGGCTGCTATCTTCCAAAAGTACATGATACCTTTATAGTCAGCACCAATAGTTAAAATCAGTCTTTTCCTCCTTCTTTTTCATGTGTTTAGTGTGTGTGTATGCTTTTGTATGTATAGTGAACGTGTGTGTGCATGTGTACACACAGCTAGAGAAGGCTCAGCGGATAAAGATTCGCTGACAAGCAAGCATGATGAACTGAGTTTTCCAACTGGTGTGTAGTGGGAGGCCAGAACTACTGCACACGCTTCTGCCCATGAGCATGGAACATGCCCAGCCCCAGTAATTTTTTAAAATGGAAAATGGGCGGGCTGCAGTGATGCACAGAAGCTCACTAGTTGACCTTCCAGAGACCTTGGTTTGAGCTCCAGCCCTCACATGACAGCTCACAACCTTTTGGAACTCCAGTCCCAGGTGGTAACGTGGAGAGCCAGTACCGCGCCTTAAAGATGGCGCCTAGCGCTTTGCCGATTGTGCAGCAAACAACTCCATATTTAGGCATGAGGCTGTGCTTGTGTGTGGCGTGATCATCAGACCATATTAGGGACCTATGGAGACTGGCCACGCAGCGGTTGATCATTGGCTGAGGCTAGGGTATAAGAGTCAGGATCGAGGGGGAGAGAGAAGAGAAGCTTGAAGAATCCTGATTAAACTGCCTCGAGAAGGAACCTGGTTGCCTTGTGTCTTCTTTCCTGCTGGTCAGGAAGGGCGCCGGACAGTAACATCCCCTTCTGGCCCTTGAGTACTGTGCACACAACAAGCAGAACACTCAAGACACAATTAAGAAAACCAACAAACCCCAGTGGTCTGGGATCTTCAGGGCCTTCCAAGTCCTGGCAAGTGTTCAAGCACTGAGCTACATCCACAGTCCTACTTTATGTGAAAAAGTATCCATAGCCCTTCCTTTTTTATGCGAAGACAGGCATAAAACAGGAAGGCCCTTGTTAAGTTGTTCAGGCTGGCAGTGAACTTATGAACCTCTTGCCTCAGTGTTCAAAGAGCTTGGATATGAAAACCATCTCAACTCCAGTGTAGGCACTACTCTGGTTTAACTCCCACTGCCTTTATTGGACAAACCCTACTCTAGCATGAACTCTGATGCTTATTGGTTACAAGTGAGCTGTAAAAGCAACCCTGGAACATTTTCTCTAATATAAAATCGTTTTTGGTTTTGGGTTAAGTGTTGAGACATGGCGAAAGGCTTCCACATTCAATTTATTATTTTTCTCTAATATAAAATCTTTTTTGGTTTTGGGTTAAGTGTTGAGACATGGCGAAAGACTTCCACATTCAATTTATTGCATTTGTATAGACAAAAATAGCCTCTTTTGAGCTGGCCCTGAAAACCATGATACTATGTAGTCCAAACCGGATGAGCTCATGGCAGTCCTTCTCCATCAGCCGCTCAACTTCTGGTACCTGAGGCTTGTGCCATTATGACTCGCCTGTAAAGTCTATTTGTAGCAAGTATTATCTCTAAGTGAAGGCACGGTGAAGCCACTAAAATGGAACACTCCATGGCTATAAAGAGATTTTTAAAAAAATATTATTCATTGTCAGGCAGTGGTGGCATAAACCTTTAATCCCAGCACTTGGGAGGCAGAGGCAGGTGGATTTCTGAGTTGGAGGCCAGCCTGGTCTACAGAGGGAGTTCCAGAACAGCCAGGGCTACACAGAGAAACCCTGTCTCGAAAAACCAAAAAAAAAAAGAAAAAAAATTATTCATTAAATATATACTAGTATACTGTCACTGTCTTCAGACACACCAGAAGAGAGCATCGGATCCCATTACAGATGGTTGTGAGCCACCATGTGGTTGCTGGGAATTGAACTCAGGACCCCTGGAAGAGCAGTCAGTGCTCTTAACCACTGAGCCAACTCTCCAGCCCAGCATATACCTTTAATCCCAGCAGTCAGGAGACAGGCAGATCTGACTTTGATGACAGCCTGGTCCAAAGAGAGAATACTATGACTGCCAGCACCATATAGTGAGATTTTTTGTGTCTCCAGAAAAAAAAAAAAGTTGCATTTGGATTTACTTTTTCACATTGATTTATATTTAGCTCTCTTAGGAATGGAATTATTTTGGGAAAAGTCTGATATACACTGCAGAATGTACCATAACTATAAAGACCTACATGTTGGCAAGAAAAATTCCAGTGTTTGGTATTAAATAATCAGAAATAAATAAATATCACACATACATATATATCATTCATATATATATATATATATATATATATAAACATCAGAAGACATATACAAGAATATATTGGTATGTTTATGAAAATACCATTAAAAATATTTCCACCATTAGAGAGATTGAAATATATTCTTAAAATGGAATGTTAAAAAGAATGCACTGTCACATCTTTAAAATGTAAAAACGTGATGTATGAAACATGCTTAAAATATAAAGTATGCAAATGTACTTATAGGGAAAGTAACAAGTACCTCAGTAATGTAGGATACAGTGGGCCTTATGCTTCACTTTTATTCTCTCACGGAAAGTAGTGCTGGTAGCCATTTTGTAACTTGTTCCTACATGATTACACCAGTTTTTGTTGTTTGAGTAGGTCTCTCTCATGTACGAAGCCCTAACTGTCCTGAAACCTGGCATGTAGGTCAGTTGCTCTGTTACTGTGACCCTCCTGACTTTGCCACCTAAGTGCTGGCACTGTTATGTGTGCTCTACCCTGCCCAGTTGGAAGCATTTCTAAATAAAGTATTCAAAGTCAGGCAGAACAGTCTAAAAAAACAATGAATGTAACTTTCATATACTAGGAAGCAGTGGTACGGAGCCTTAATAACTTATGACATCTTTAGATACTAAAGGTTTACAATAATTGCAAAGACCTCACAAAGACATCACTTCCCTCTTTTATTGTATTTCCATACTTTCTCTATGAATCCTTTGATGGACAATGAGGTTCCTCTTATAACTAAAGGACTTGCCACAGTCATTACACACATAGGGCTTCTCGCCTGTGTGAGTTCTCTGATGAACAATGAGATTTGTCTTCTGGCGAAAGCACTTTGCACATTCGTTGCATTTATAGGGTTTCTCTCCAGTATGAGTTCTCTGATGATGGATGAGGTAGGACTTCCTGCCGAAAGCTCTCCCACACTGAGGACACCCGTAGGACTTCTGCCCTGTATGGATTTTCTGATGGACAATAAGGGTTGCCTTTTGGCGAAAGGACTTGCCACACTCGGTACACACATAGGGTTTCTCCCCAGTATGAATCCTCTGGTGTAGATTGAGGTTTGTTTTCTGGCTGAATGCTTTCCCACACTCAATACATTCATATGGTTTCTCTCCTGTGTGGGTTCTGTGGTGATCAACAAGGTAGGATTTCATCCTAAAGGCCTTCCCACAATGAGGACATGTGTAAGATTTCTCCCCTGTATGTGTCCTCTGGTGTGCCACGAGAGTAGTCTTCTGGTGGAAGGACTTCTCACATTCACTACACACATAGGGCTTCTCCTCACTGTGAGTTCTCTTGTGGAGGGCAAGTGTTGTTTTCTGGGAGAATGCTCTCCCACACTTGTTACAAATATAAGGGCTTCTCCCCTGTATGAATCCTCTGATGGACAGTGAGGTTCGCTTTTTGGTGAAAAGATTTCCCACATTCTTTACAAATATAGGGTTTCTCCCCTGTATGAATTCTCTGATGGAGGGAGAGAGTTGTCTTTTGGCGGAAAGATTTGCCACAGTCATTACGGCCATACGGTTTTTCTCCCGTGTGAGTTCTCTGATGACGAATAAGGTGTGACTTCAGTCGGAAGGCATTCTTACACTGTGGACATTCGTGTGACTTCTCCCCTGTGTGTGTTCTCTGGTGATCCGTGAGGGCTGTCTTTAGGCGGAAGGACTTACCACACTCATTACACACGAAGGGCTTTTCTCCTGTGTGAGTTCTCTGATGGCCAATGAGATACGACTTCCTTCTAAATGCGCTTCCACACTGATGACACTGGTAAGGCTTTTCCTCCGTGTGAATTGCCACATGCAGAATCAACACTGACTTCCTGCAGAAGGACTTCCCACATTCAGTGCATGTATGTTGTTTTTCGCTATTTGCTGCCCTTTTCTTTTTGTTACGTATAGATGGATTTTCCTCTCCATACACTCTACTGAGTGTAACTAAGCCTCCTTTTCTGAGAAATGATTTCTCGTAGACCTTATATTCAGAGGACCATGCTGCAGTGACAGCCTGCTCAGGCTGCACAAGTGCATCCCTGTGACTGCAGGACTCGACCCTCTGAGTGTGGGATTTGACGGCAGGATGTCCTGCAACTTGCATGAAGTTTGGGTATGATTTCACATAGCAATCATACTCACCGAATATCTTTCTTGAAGGCTTTAGATTACAGTTGATTAAGTCTGAAACATTTTCTAAAATATTGCCATGTGTGTCATATTTAGGAGGTAGGTCTTTGGAATTAACACGATTGTTCACTAGAGTAAATATCTTTTGTCTATAGTTAATATATACAAATGAGCTAGAGTACTTATCTTCATGTTCCTTGAATTTTGTTAAAAACTCTCTTGATTTCCAGTTTTCTTCTAGGAAAGAATAACAACTAGTGAATTTCCATGAATGTGCGAGGGAAAAGAATTATAACACAGTAAAACACGCAGAAGAACTAGAGCAATCCACTTCCAAGTTACAAAGCAAACCAAAAATAGAAACTCTACGTCAGACAACAACAACAAATCTATACATATTTCTTCCCATCATGCTCTATTTAAAACTTGGATATAATTAGCAACTAGAAAAGTCATTTTGCTGGGCAGTGGTGGCACACGCCTTTAATCCCAGCACTTGGAAGGCAGAGGCAGAGGCAGAGGCAGGCGGATTTCTGAGTTCGAGACCAGCCTGCTCTACAGAGTGAGTTCCAGGACAGCCAGGACTACACAGAGAAACCCTGTCTCGAAAAACCAAAAAAAAAAAAAAGAAAAAAAAAGTCATTTCAACAACGACAAACACTTTGAAACACAACAGGATTTCATGTAGCTCAGGCTTGCTTCAAACTTGCTATGTACCAAAAATAACCCTGAACTGCTAAGAACTTTTAAAATTAGATTAAATGATTTTATTTCCTGTGAGTGTTTTAGCCGCATGTTTATATGTGCACTACATGTGTGCTTGGTGCCCAAGAATGTGAGGAGATGGTACTGGATCCCCTAGAAGTGTAGTAACTAACTAATGGTTGTGAACCACCAAGTGGGTGCTGGGAATTCCAGGTTTTCTAAACCCAGGTCCTCTAAGGAACAGCCAGTGCTGTTAACCTCTGGGTCATGTCATCTCTCCAGCACACTTGTTTGAGGTTTTTCTTTTCTTTTCTTTCCTTTTTTTTTTTTTTTTTGAGAAGGTGTTACTGTGCAGCTCTGACTGGTACTCATTAGGTAGGCCAGGCTGGCCTGAGACTCATGGCAATCCTCCAGTTCAGCTTCTCAGGTACTGGGATCATAGGCATACACCCATAAGCGTAGCAGCAAATCTTCAGTCCTTCATTCTCTCGTAAATGTTTCATAAAGGAGACAATGGGGAGCAGTCCTTCTCATGGAAAGCAGTGTGCAGGGGACTGGGAAGAGTTCTTGCAGAGGATCCTGGTTAAGTTCCCAGCATCCATATGGTAGCTCACAGCTGTTCAGAACTCTAGTTCTTAAGACTCCGACACCCTTTTCTGGCCTCAGACCCCAGTGGTGCACAGAAATACATACAGGCAAAAATATATACACATAAAATAAAAATAAACCTAAAAAATGTTTTTTACATGTTTTGGTTGAGTAGGGTGGTTTACACCCTGAAATTCTAGCATTCCAGTTGTGTGCAGCAGGCCAGGCTCAGAACGGTGTTTAAGTTTTGTAAGTGAGATGGTCATTGCAGAAGTTAGGAACCTTTAACGACATTTACAACATTTCAATGATACGCCATGCTACCTGATTATTCCAGTTTTATGTTTGAAATCAGAAACTCACCTAAGGAGACATGACTTGCAAAGGACGCCCATGGCTCTTCCCCTCTCTCCAGTCTGAGGATGACATTGGGTTTAGACATGTCACAGCCTGAAAAGGGAGAAGAAAACAGAACACTAGGGAAGCCAGGATGGAACTAGTGGTAACGCACATGTCTAGCCAAAGGCAGAGGCTAGGGACGGGGACCTGGAAGGGCACATGCTCAACAGACTGTCTTAATGATACAGAGTTGAGAATACTAAAAATGACTAAGGGTGTGTATCTGAATGCTTCTCCTTTGGGTAACAGTAAAACTTCACCTCCTCTAGGAGGTGAAGATCAAATAGCCCTTCTCCAAACCAGAATCCCTGGAATTTGACAGTTTGCCGACTTAGGTGTCCTGAGAGGAAATACAGTGTCACGCCGCTTCATACCTACGGAGAGGAGGTGGCCATAGTTTTCCAACATCACATCCGTATATAGAGTCTTCTGCTCAGAGTCCAGGCGCTGCCACTCCTCCTGACTGAAGTCCACGGTCACATCCTTGAACGACACGGATCCCTGAAGAGCAAAATTTGGAGGGGTAACTGACACAGCTTAAATAATTAGAAACAACTGGTTTGTTTGTTTGATATGAGTTACTGTCTTCAGACATACCAGAAGAGGGCATCGGATTCCATTACAGATGGTTGTGAGCCACCATGTGGTTGCTGGGAATTGAACTCAGAACCTCTGGAAGAGCAGTCAGTGCTCTTAACCGCTGATCTATCTCTCCAACTCTTGTTTGTTTGTTTGTTTGTTTGTTTTTGAGACAGGGTTTCTCGTATATCTCTGGCTGTCCTGGAACTTGCTGTGTAGATCGAACCAGCATAAAACTCAAGAGATCTTCCTGCCTTGCCTCTTGAGTGATGGGATTAAAGGCCTTGTGCCACCACATCCAGCTGGGATCTACTCTTTTTCAAACATTTTCTTTAGATTTATTTATTATGTATATGAGTATTTTGCCTGCATGTATGCCTGGTGTCCTCGAAGGTTAGAAGACGGTGTCAGAGTCCCTAGAACTGGAGTTATAGACTGTTGTAAGACACCATGGGCATCTAGGAACGGAACCTGGGACCTTGGAAGAGAGACACGTGCTTGAGCATCTGTCCAGCTCTAGGAGCGCTCTTACCCCCGCTTGTGAGTCATAAAATTGTCAAAGAATGACTACGTTTCTGCCCTTGTTTTGATTTAGACTGCAAGTTACTAGGTTCCCACAGTGACTGGGGGTGGGGGTGGGGGTAAACCTGTCACCAAATCTGATGGCTGGAGTTCAGTCTCTGGAACCCACATGGTAAAAGCCAAGAACCAACTCCTGTAAGTTGTCCTGACATCCACACACAGGCAGCATGTTTGCACACATACATCTACAGGTTAACATAAGAAACAAGAAGAAAATGTAATTAATCTGTGACTTACTGGGAAGTTGCTCTATGCTCATTGCGTGCACCTAGGCTATCAGAGAACAAGAACACGTGCTCTCTGGGCATGGACACAGCAGAGGACACAGGAACACAAACCCACAGCCCGCTATAGCATGCACATAAAGCATGGTGTCTTACAAGTCAGAGGTAAATTCTCTGGCCTCACCAAGAATGTAAATTATATAAATTTTCTCGACTTTGAAATGAATGGTTTCCATCAGGCTCTGGTGGCACGAGTTTCCTTGTCGGGGTTAATCGGGACAGTCACAAGCTGGAGGCCTGCCTGAACTCGAGTGGATTCATGGCCAGCTTGAGTTATGAGACAATGCTCAGAATAAGAAGAAGAATGGTGGGTTTTATTAACAATAAAAAAATAAATCACCTAAGAATATGCACTCGGCTAATCACTGAAAGATATGGACGGAGTACCTGATAAACAACTAAAGAAAGGAACTCAGTCAGGCAGAAAACATACTGCTTGAAGGGCAACAACTACAGCAAGGACTGTCCATTTCCTAACTGTCTGCCTGAAGGGTTCTTAAACCCTATAGTTCTCAGGTCAGAAAACAGCTTACTTCCTTCAGGGCTGGCACAGTTCCAGGCCTGCCAGGGATACACAGTGATACCGTCTCCAACAGCAACAAGAACTCTAAAATGTATAAAGATTAATTTTCTGAGTAAAACAGATAGGACCAATCTCTGAGAAGACAGTACAGCACTGTGAGCTATACACCTCAGTTCAGTACCACTGCGTGTAGATACATTTACTTCTGTGTCCAAATACAAAATTAGAACAGTTTTTGTGGAGCTGAAGAGATGGCTCAGTGGTTAAGAACACAGGCTGTCCTTCCAGAGGACCCAGGTTCAATTCCCAGCACCTAAGTGGCAGTTCACATCTGTCTATAACTGCACTTCCAGAGGATTTGAAACCCTCACAGCAATGCACATCAAATAAAAATTTAATAAATTATTTTAGAAAGAAAATAAAAACATAATTTCTGTTTTGGAGACAGGGTCTCACTATGTAGCCTTGGTTGGCCCAAACTCAGAGATCTACCTGCCTCTGCCTCCCAAGTGCTGGAATTAAAGACATGGGCCACCAGGCTTAGTTAGAACAAACTTTTAAAAGAGGAAAAGTGTAATATCCTTAGTATTCTAGGAAAGATGTTACTGGAAGACAGCACGCTTTTAGGAGCTTTTGTGAGCAGAACTGATGGCGCACACAGAAGAAATGGGGTTCTTGGCTCCTTGCCAAGCAGACCTCTATACTTACATTTGAGACAGGATGTTCTCGCCTCTTTCTAGTAACATTCTATGAATCTTCTTCTTTACTCAGGTTTGTGGATACGGCCAAAGGTTTGGATATTTAAAAAAAAAAATCCTCTGTACATAGAGTCAGGGGTCTCCACGTGTGTGGGCACATCTGTGGGTAGTCAGGGGTCTCCACGTGTGTGGGTGCATCTGTGGGGGCCAACTTTCACGTGTCAGTTTTCCCGACCATGTATGTCCTGAGGCTCAAACCCTTGGTCACAAGGCTTGGCAGAGAGTGCCTTAACATGATGAGCTCCATTCCGACCTTACACAGCCCAGGCTGGCCTCAAACGTGCTCTGTAACCAAGGAGGACCTCGAATTTCTAATCCTCCTATCTT